AGCTGCAGTTTTTTTTTTTTTTTTTCATACCCCAGTGGTGCCTGGAATGCCAGCGAGACAGAACTGTTAACTCCCCTGGAAAGGGAGTTGAAGTCAGAGAACCAAGTGGTCTACCTCAGTGGATCCCACCACCACAGAGCCCATCAAGCTAATATCCAGTGGCCTGAAATTCTCACTGCCAGCACAGAAGTCTAAAATTGACCTGGGATGCTTGAGCTTAGTGGGGGGAGGGGCATCTACCATTACTGAGGCTTGAGTAGGTAGTTTTCCCCTCACAGTATAAACAAAGACACCAGGAAAGTCAAACTGGGCAGAGCCCACCACAGCTGCGCAAATCTGCTGTTGCCAGATTGCCTCTCTAGATTGCTTCTCTCTGGGCATGCCATCTCAGAAAGAGAGGCAGCATCTCCAGTTGGGGGTTTATAGATAAAACTCCCATCTCTCTGGGACAGAGGACTTGGGGGAAAGGGTGTTTGTGGGCTCAGCTTTAGCAGACTTAAACATTTCTGCCTGCTGGGTCTGAAGAGAACATTGGACCTCCCAGCACAGCACTTGAGCTCTGCTAAGAGACAGACTACCTCCTCAAGTGGGTCCCTGTCCCGCATGCCTCCTGACTGGGAGATGCCTCCAAGCAAGGGTTGACAGACATCTCACACAGGAGAGCTCTGGCTGGCATCTGGTGGGTTCCCCTCTGGGATGAAGCTTCCAGAGGAAGGAACAGGCAGCAATCTTTGCTGTTCTGCAGCCTACGCTGGTGATACCCAAGCAAACAGGGTCTGGAGTGCACCTCCAGCAAACTCCAGCAGACCTGCAGCAGAGGGGCCTGACTGCTAGAAGGAAACCTAACAAACAGAAAAGAGTAGCACGAACATCAACAAAAAGGACATCCTCACAGAAACCCCATTTGAAGGTCACCAACATCAAAGGCCAAAGGTAGATAAATTCATGAAGATGAGGAAAAACCAGCACAAAAAGGCTGAAAATCCCAAAAACCAGAACGCCTCTTCTCCTCCAAAGGATCACAACTCCTCACCAGCAAGGGAACAAAACTGGACCAAGAAAGAGTTTGACAAATTGACAGAAGTAGGCTTCAGAAGGTGGACTAGAATAACTCTTGGTAAATTGGGATAAAAAGAAATTTTCTCAACTTAAAGAATATCTACAGAATAAAGCAGAAGCAGGAGACGGAAAAAGATGAGAGTCCTCACCTAGTTCACCTAGTTCAACTTTCTAATTCCATAGTTTCTGAGACCGATATGCATTCCTTCCCTTTAGCTCTGTAGAATTTTTTACAATCACAATAGTTTTAACCTATTTCAAATTAATGTTTTTGAAAAGTTGCTATATTATGGTTTTTAAAAAATAAGAGAAAGAATATGGAATACTATGAAGAATTCTATGCCCACAAATTTGGTAACATAGATGAAATAAACCAATTCGTTAAAAGACAAAACCTGCCAAAACAATTTGGCCATTTAAATAGGACTCTATCTATTAATTAAATTTAAGGAGAAAGAGGCAAATTAAACAGAACTATATCTATTAAATAAATTGAATCAATAATTAATAAACTTTCAGAACAGTTAGCACTAGGCCTAGATGGGTTCAGTGATCAATTTTGTTAAATATTTAAGGAAGAAATTATACCAATTCTCTATAATCTCTTTCAGAAACCGAAGTGGAGGGAATGCTTCCTAGCTCATTCTGTAAGGTTGGCGTTATCCTAATACCTAAACCAGACAACAACATTACTAAAAAAGAACACCACAGACCAGTATCTCTCATAGACATACATCTTAAAATCATCAGTAAAATATTAGCAATCAAATCCAAGAATGTATTAAAAGAATTATATTTCATGACCAAATGGAATTTATTCCAGATATGCATGGCTGGCTCAAAATTCAAAAATTAATTAATATCATCCATCACATCAATAGGCTAAATGAAAAAAAAATCATATGATCATTTCAATCAATACAGAAAAAGTATTTAACAAAATTTAATACTCATTTATGAGTTTTTAAAAATTCTCAGTAAACTGGGATAAAAAGAAAGTCTCTCAACTTAAAGAATATCTACAAGAAACTCTGCAGCTAACATCATAATTAATGCTGAAAGCTTTCTCACTATGATCAGAAACAAGGCAGGGATGACTGCTTTCACCACTGCTTTTCAACTGGAATTTCTAACTAATGCAATGACAAGAAAAAATAAATAAAATGGATAAAGATTGGTAATGAAGGAATAAAATTGTCTTTGTTCATACATGACATAATTATCTATGTAAAGTATCTGAAGGAATTGATAAAAAAAAATAAGGAATTAGTTTTGTATGTTAACCTTGTATTTTACAAGTCAATCATTTTCCTATAAGCCAGCAGTGAACAAGTGGAATTTGAAAGTAAAAACACAATACCATTTATATTAGCATCCCCAAAGTGAAATACTTAGGTATAAGTCTAACAAAATATGTGCAACATCTATATGAAGAAGATGATGAAACTCTGATGAAAAAGAATCAAAGAAAATCAAAGTAAATGGAGAGAGACCTTGTGTTCGCAGCTAGGGTGAATCAATGTTATCAAAATGCCAGTTCTTCCCACTTGATTTATGAATTCAACACAATCCCCATCATAATCTTAGCACGTTATTTTATGGATATAAACAAACTGATTTTTAAGTCTATCTAGAGAGGCAAAAACTCAGAATAGTCAACACATTGAAGGAGAACAAAGTTGGGGGCGTGACACTATCCAACTTCAAGATTTACTATAAAGCTACAATAATCAAGACAGTGTGGTATTAGCAAAAGAAGACATATATAAGTAAATGAAACCAAATAGAGAGGCTAGACTTACATAAATATTATATTTGGCAAATTAGCAAAGGCAATACATTGGAGTCTTTTGAACAAATGGTATTGGAACAACTGGACATCCATATGCAAAAATAAATTGAATCTAGATAAAGATCTCACACCTTTCACAAAAATGTACTCAAAATGAATCCGTGACCTAAATATAAAATGCAAAATTAAAAAAAAATCCTGAAAGGTAACATGAGAGAAAGTATAAATGACCTTTGGTTTGGCAGTGACATTTTAGCTATCACAGTAAAGGAATAATCCATGAAATAAAGAATTGATAAGCTGGACTTCAGAAAAATTAAAAATTTCTACTCTGTGAAAGACACTGCCAAGAGAATGAAAAGACAAACCACATACTAGAAAAAAAACAAAGTCATCCTTGTTACAAATGGGGGATTGGTTCAATCACCCCATGGATACCAAAATCCGCAGATGCTCATATACCTTGTATAAAATGGCTTAGTATTTGCAAATAACCGCCTGTATTCTTTAAATCATTTCTAGATTACTTATAATACCTAATACAATGCCTGTATATCACTACATCCTGCAAATTCAATGTAGTATGGCAAATTCAAGTTTTGCTTTTTAGAAGTTTGTGGAATTTTTTCCAAATATTTCCAATCCATGGTTGGTTGAATCCACAGATTTGAAACCCATGGATACAGAGGGCCAACTGTATTATAGCAAAAGACATATTCAATAAAAGACTGTTATCCAAAACACATGAAGAACTCTTAAAACTCAGCAATATGCAAGGAAACAACCCGATTTTAAAACAGGTTAAAAATCTTAACAGACACTTTATCAAAGAAGACATATGTGGAAAATGTATCTATGTATGGAAAATAAGCATATGAAAAGATGCTCTACATCATATGTCATCAAAGAAAGGCCAACTAAAACAACAATGAGAACTACTACACACCAAAGGTGAGGAGTGGACCAACAGGTACTCTCATTAATTGCTAGCAGGAATGTAAAGTGGTGCCTCTATTTTGAAATACAGTTTGGCAGTTTCTTAACTAGGCAATCTCTTACCATGTGATCCAATCATGTTTTTTCTTATTTACCCAAAAAGTTAAAAACTTATGTTCATACAAAAACCTGTGCATGGATGTTAATTGCAGCTTTTTTTATAATTGCCAAAACTTGGTAGCAGCCAAGATTTTTTTTAGCAGGCAAATACATAAATAAACTGTGGTATAGTCAAACAATGGAATATTATTCAGCACTAAACAAATGAGCCATTAAGACATGAAAAGTCATGGGGACAATTAAATGCATATTTTTAAGCGAAAAAAGCCAGTCTGAAAATGCTGTATACTGTAACATTCCAATTATATAACACTCTGGAAAAGCCACAACTATGGAGACAGGATATCAGTATTGCCTGTAGTTAGCTGGCAGGGAAGGATGAATAGGTAAAACAGAGAGGATTTTTAGGGCAGTGAAATTAGTCTGTAAAATGCTATCATGGTGGAGATATGTCATTATGTATTTGCCTGAAAACATTAAATCCAATCCCAAGAGTGGCCCCTAATGCAAACATTGGACTTTGGGTGATAATGATGGTGTTTAAATGTAGGTTCCTTAATCGTAACAAATGTACCACTCTAGTCAGGTATGTTGATAATGGGAGAGGCCTTGCGTGTGTGGGAGCAGAGGTTACATGGAAAATCTCTGTACCTTCCACTAAATTTTGCCATGATCCTAACAATTCTCTAAAAAATAAAGTCTATTAACTTTTCTTTTCTGTTTCATTGTTAATTATAATGGCAAACAAAAATTTTGGAGACAATAGGGTTGAGAGAGGATATGGAAAATATATCATTGACACCTATTAAGAGATGCTTATTAACAAGTGCTCTGGGATAATAATCTTGGTTTCAAAAGTTGAATAAAAAAATTTTTAATAGACCATGGGTTTGTTTAGTGATCCCATTCTTAAAATAGGTACTCGATAAGCATAGGAATAATTTCAGAATGAAAAATGTATCAACACTCTTAAATATAATATCATTTAGATAATACGGATAATGCATGAGACAATTCAAGATCCTAAAATGTAAACCCTATATGGACATCAAGCACCCCCCTACTAGAATTATCATTAAAAGATGCACACTACCTAAAGTGAGATTCTCCTTGCTATTCTGCAGTATTAATGAATTGTTTGGTCGAGCAGCACCTTCCGCTTCTGAATGTATACATTCTGAAAAAGGCAAAGGGGGTAGAGAGAGAAATATGCATTAATAGATCTGACTCCTAGTTAAAATCATATTTTTTCACATTCTTCAGACTATTTTTGTATTGCAGATGCCAATGAATATCTAAATTATGACAGCTAAGCAAAAGTCTCGGCACAATGTGTCCCAGAATGCACTTTTGACTTGCTCTTCCTCACTGATTGGCATAGTCCTGCTTTAAGCCCAGCGTACCCATCATCCCCTTCTTGCTTTATATGCAAGTCTTCTTCCAGGCTTATATGCATTTAGTCTATCTCTGAGTGTGGAATAAAATGATTTACTGTCTTTTACAGGCTTTTCAAGCACCAATGAGAAGGTAGAAAAAGTTTAGTGGTGACGTATTGATTGGATGCTTGTATGGAACAAAAGGATTTTCCTAAACATCATTGAAATCACATCACAGAGTCTCTGATGGGAAAAAGGTCCCCAACATTTTTGGGACCAAGGATCCATTTTGAGGAAGATAATTTTTCCACAGACACGGGGAAAGGGAGGGCAATGGTTCCTGGATGAAACTGTTTCACCTCCAATCATCAGGCATAAGTTAGATTCTCATAAGGAATGCACAAGCTTGATTCCTGGCATGCACAGTTCACAACAGGGTTCATGCTCCTATGAGAATCAAATGCCTCCAACTGATCTGACAAGAGGTGGATTCAGGCCACAATTCTCACTCACCTGCCACACAACTCCTGCTGTGCAGCACAGTCCCTAACAGGCCAAGGATTGGTACCAGTCTGCAGCCCTGGGGTTGGAGACTGGTGATATAGACAATGGCCTATTAAGTTTACATTTTTGTAAGCCAAGCTCTTTGTAGGAATTGGTAGTACACATCTTTTAAGCAGCAATTATTGGAAAAGTACTCTGCTAGGCACAGAGATATCATAATAAACAATACCCCCTTTTTTCCAAGAGTTTAAGATCCTGGAGAGACAGCAGCTAGGGAAACAATTGTAATGTAAAGTTTTCAGTGCAGTGATCAAAGTTGCATGTGATGTACAGAAGTTTAAAGAAGAGATGTTTAAATTCCAGGAAAACAGGAGTAAGAGATTAGGAAAAACTTTCCTATACTGAGTAATGTTTTAGCTGGATCTAAGTACATGAAGAGTTTTCCAAGAAAATAGAAGGGAAAATGTGAACAAAAATAATGGCATTTGAAGAAGGTACAAAGCCAAATAAAAATTTACAAGAGTTATAAATAGTTTAGTATTGCCATGAAGCGAGAAAACCTGGCTGTGTAATTGGAGTTGAGGCTGGCTATAGGCAGGCTCTAACTGTGCAAGGCACAAAGCTCCTAGAATGTGTTCACAAGGAAAAGATACGCTCGTAGCTTATCAATAGCGAGTGTATCTGACTAGCAAAGAGAAACATTTTAGAGTAAAATTTAATGTTCAGTGTTATTCTGAAAAATTTTTTAATCTAGTGCCCCTCTCAGCTGCCATTTTCTTTAACAAACTGTTCTTTTAAGATAATAATTTATTGAGTGAGTAGAGTAGAAATAGAGTTTGGGTAATTTGCTTATGTTCTTTATTTCCATCTCTCTATGACTAGCAGATATTAATATTCTCATTTTGCAGATAAAGAAATGTAGATTAAGTGATTAAACAATTTGACCAAGACTACCTGGCTAGTAAGCTGTGTCAGTTGCCCAATTATAAATCTTGGTGCAAGTAAGCCTTACTTGCAATTACACGAGTAGAAATCACAGGTTAGACCATAAGAAATATGCTAGGATATATACACAACCCAAATTAACCCAAAATGAAGTGAGTCTAAGCCATGTTATTGCAAGGGCACTGAGAGACAAACTTTTGAAAGAGCAGATCGAATGGCAAGTCCATAAAATCAGGATTACCAAGGCGTCTGGACACAGACACTGTGAATTCTAGATCTGAATGGGATTGGTTAAGTTAGGGAAAAGACAATTGTCAGAATTCATGGGCTTAGAATAATGGCTTGCACAGCTCCCTGGTACATAGCTGGATCAAGCTGGATTAAAAATAAAGGTCAACCCAAACCTATAGTGAACCAGACTAAACATATGGACAGAGAGTTTATGGAAAAAGAAGTAAAAATGTCTCTTAGTCATATGAAAAGATATTCCACGTTAATCATGGTAAGAGGAATACAAATTAAAAGTATTTGGAAATACCATTTCTCATCTCTAACTGGCAAAATCCAAAAGTTTAACAACATACACTGTTGGGTGTGGTTGTGGAGAGATAGGTATGTCTGTATGTTGGTATTGTTCAATTTTTTAATGAGGAAGAAAGGAGATATAGATGTAAAATAAGTAAGTTTAAAGCACTTCGGGAAGCCGAGGTGGGCAGATCATGAGGTCAGGGGATCAAGACCATCCTGGTTAACATGGTGAAACCCCATCTCTACTAAAAATACAAAAAATTAGCTGGGCATGGTGGCAGGCGTCTATAGTCTCTGCTACTCGGGAGTCTGAGGCAGGAGAATCACTTGAACCCAGGAGGCAGAGGTTACAGTGAGCTGAGATCAGGCCATTGCACTCCAGCCTGGGTGACAGAGCAAGACTCCGTCTCAAAACAAACAAACAAACAAACAACAGCATCAAAAAAAACCTCAGTCCTAAATTTTAATCAAAAGTATCAATATCAACTCATGATGTATTTTTATCTTTCAAAATACATATATCTTATCTCCTGCTATGTTAAGGGATAATTCATTACATAGTTATAAACAACTAATATAGTTATCAACCACATTGACCTCATTGATATTTTTAGAACCTAACCCAGCATCTGCAGAATACATTCTTTGCAAGTGCACATCGTATATTCACTGAGTTTGACCACATTCTGTGCCACAAAACAAGTCTCAAAAACTTTAAGAAACTGAAGTTATATAAAAAATGTTCTCCAACCAAAACAGAATTAAATTAAAAATCAATTGCAATGAGATTTTTAAGAAAATACCAAATATTTAGAAATCAAACACATTTCTAAGCAACACTTTGCTCAAAGAGGAAATTCATAAAGAAGTTAGTTTTCACCGGATAATGAAAATACAACATACAAATTTGAAATAAGCAGCTAACACAGTGGATTTAGAAAAAGTAATACCTTGAGGTGCTAATTTTAAAGGAAGAAATGTGTGCAATTCACCCATAGAAGCAAGAAATAAAGGAGAGAAAAGACAATAAGAAATCTAAGAGCAGAGATAAATAAAATAGGAAACAAGCAATGCAAAAAATTAAGGAAACAAAACCTGGTTTTTTGAAAAGATCATCAACATTTATAAACCAACAACTAGACTGATCAAGAAAAAAATAGAAACACAAATATCTAATATCAGAAAGGAAAGAAGGGCCATTCATATAGATTTACATTCGTGAAAGGAAAAGTGAGGGAATCTTATTAACAATATTATGCTAATCAAATTAAGTAACAGTTGAAATGGACAAGTTCATTGAAAACAAAGCTTTTGAAACTTAAGAATTAAAAAAATCTGAAAACCTTATGTCTTTAAAAAACTGAATTTGTTTATAAAAAGCCTTCTATCAAACTGGCTACACTGACAAATTTAAGCAAACATGTAAGGAAGAAGTAATATTAATTTTACAGACAAACCCTTTTAGAAAATCAAGGAGACAACACTTTCTAACTCATTTTATGAAAGTAAAATTAACCATAGATCAAAACCATATAAATACATTACAAATTAAAAAACAATGACCAGCAACACTTACAAATGATACAAATTTTTTTCACAAAATATTAACAAATCAAATATTGCACTATGTAAGAAGTAAAGTATTAGGTATATAATTTCCACAGATATACTTTAACAGTTTGAGGAAGTTTTTTTCTCTTCCCTAGAACTAATTGAACTTAGTAAAGTAATAATATAAAATACAAATACTATTTCAAAACAATTATAGTTTTCTATACTAGCACAAAGAATTGAAAAATGAAATTTTTAAAATGTTTACGCTAATGAAAAAATACCTAGTAAAAAAGGTAATAAAAGATGTATAAGACCTGTACACTGAAAACTATAAAATATTGCAGAGTAAATTCAATAAATCCTGTATAATGGAAAGTCCCAATATTATCAAGATGTCAATTCTCCTCAAAAACAGTCTCAATCAAAATGTGGTAGTCTTTTCTGTGGAAATTGCATGATGATTCTAAAATTTATATATAAATGCAAACCTGGAATAGCCAAACCTATTTGTTTTAAAAGAATAACAAAAAGAAAAAAAGAGAGAGAAATCTATTTAAGTTTAAGCTTCACTCTGAAGCTACAGTAATCAAAACAATCTGGTATTGGCTAAAAGATAATCACATTTATCAGTGAAATATAATACATAATCCAGAAATAGACACATACATATATACTTTATTGATTTTATCTCCTTGGTTAAATTTATCTCTTAGTATTTTATTTTCTGTAGCTACTAAAAATGAGATTTTAAAAAAATTTCTTTCTCAGTTCACTGTTAGTGTATAGAAAAACTAGATTGTTAATGTTGATTTTGTATTCTGCAACTTCACTAAATTCATTTTTTAGTTCTAAGAGTTTTTGGTGGAGTCTTTGAGTTTTCCATATATAAGGTGATGTTGTCTGCAAACAGGAACAATTCGACTTCTTTATTTTCTCTCTGGATCCCTTTATTTCTTTCTCTTGCCTAAATGCTCTGGCTAGAACTTCCAGCATTATGAGGAAATATTATTAACAACTTTATGCTTCCAGTACCATGTTGAATAAAAGTGGCAAGAGCGGGCATCCTTGTCTTGTTTCTGATCTTAGAGGTAAGGCTTTCATTTTCCCCCACTAAGTGTGATATCAGCTGTGAATTTTTCATATACAGTATAACCATTATTGTATTGAGGTACCTTCCTTCTATGCCTAATTTATTGAGAATTTTTATCATGAAAGGATGTTGAATTTTTTTAAGGCTTTTTTGCATCTGTAGAAATAATCATACGGTTTC